AAGCCTCTCAGAAGTCTCGCAGAAGCCTCTCAGAAGCCTCTCAGAAGCCTCTCAGAAGCCTCTCAGAAGCCTCTCAGACGCCTCTCACAAATTCTACCGGGGAATCAAACCGGGGAAGGGTTGTACCGGGGAATGTTTGATTTTCCCGGGGGAAGTCCGATTTCACCCGGGAAAATATTTTTGTCCACCCCAGAGGCCCCCCAATCGGCCCCCAGGAGGCCCGGAAGAGGCTCCCAAGAAGCTTCCCTCGAGGCTCCCCAAGATAGGCCCCATTGCTCCAAAAGGCACCTGAAAAGCATCCCAAAAGACCCTCACATGCATCCAAAAGGACTCTGACCGACAACCCGGGCAAGGTGGCGGGATGGACCGAAAGCCTAGGCGTTGCCCTCGATCTACCGCTTCCACCAACGCGAGCTTCACACGACAACTTGGGGAACCTATCACAACCCAACAACTTCCAGATCGCCTCGTGAACGATCATAATCAATGAATCTGGCATGGGTGATGGGGAGAGGGGGAAGGCAGGAGAGAGGAATTCAGGAATGAGGCGGACGCGTGACACGGCTACGATTCAAATAGCGACAAAAGGTTCAACGCGCTGACGAACATCATGATCTTCGGGCCCCCCGCCCCAACAGAAGAGCACATCTGCCTCCGAGATAGCGGTGTCCGCGTCCCCCGACGCAGTGAAGATGCCCGAGCGGGCGCGCGAGTGGACGGCGCTGCTCGTGGAGGAGGCGTGGTCGATGCCGGGCTGGGCGCTCTTGTCGACTGACCCGGGTGAAGAAGTACAATCAAGATCATGTACGTGCTCGAGCAATCGAGACTTCGAAATCCAAGCCTGCTAAGCACGTTTGCTACATACACACGCCCACACACATTTTCATGTCCGCAGCTCGGTGATACCCGACCAGGAGGTATCATCCTACATATCAGCGCGAACCGATTTGGAATAACGACAAACCACTTAAAACGAAAGTCGAGCCGAGTCCCACGCACTCTGGGACACGAGCTGGTCGCATGAGCAGGGGGAGCTCGCAACACCCAAACGCCAAGCGAGGAAAGAAACAACTACGCTGGCAGATGCACGCGCCCGCATTCAAGCTTCAATCATTTTCCTCTCTCTCTCACCCCTCTCGGTGGATACATGTAGAATTCTGTGCATATGTACGCATCTTGATCTGATGCTGTCTCGCCATTTTCAAACTTTCTCTGTCAGAATGCAACTATATATGTCCGTAACGTTTTCCAATCGCGCGCGCAGATACGTCCGCACAGTTACTGACATTCCAGCTGCGCCTACCCCGCGTGAGCTGCCTGTCCCCTATCACAAGCTCTTCCTTCAAAATGCAAGCTATGCTATTGGCACCCAGTGGTATCAGTTCGCTGCCCCATCATCGCCTGTCATCCGACCGCTGCGCTCATTGTGAAGCTGCCTCTCGCGTGGGTCGTACTTGCTGGCAACGAAGACCTGGAGGAGGACAGAGCTGCGGACAGCGAAAACATTTGGGGTGGAACTTCGCTCAACACCTGAAACATGTGAACCTTCGCTTGCATATTGCACTGACAAAGAAACTCTAATGTGTGCCACGGATATGTCCGAATCCTCTACGGACGTATGCGAGTAGCACGCCTAAAGACACATCGAGACTACCTGTGGGTTCACTGGGGGTACCGCGAGCGCCACGTTGTGAACTGTGGATTTCAATTGCGCCCCTGGTAAAGAAACGATGCACAATGTAGATTGCGCACCGTGTTCTTCAAGATGAAGGCAGATGGACCACGATTGGTCGCGCCATGATTGCTCCACGAATATGCGTCGCGCCATCTACGGATGCGCCATGTGCCGTGCACCGCGCGGGTTGCGAGCTGGCGCTGGCGCTGGCGCGCGCACTCTGGTAAGGCCAGGGTGTTGAGACCGCCCCGGACGACTCACGGGGCCTGCCGAAGCTAGCCAGGACTGCCTGGGGGGGCTGCCTGTGCGCAGCCCGCGACCTGAGCAGAGGGGCCCGCCTTTTGATTTGCTCCTGGAAGTGCGCCTGAGATCCGACGTAGCGAACAACATGCCAACATGCCAACATGCCTGACAAAAGCACGACCGACATGCCAACATGCCTCCTCCTCCTCCTCCTTCTCTTCCTCCTCCCTTCCTTCTTCTTGTTCATTTTCCTCCTCCTCCTCCTCCTCCTTCAAGCTCCTTCAAGCTGCGGAACGTCTGCCTCTAGAAGAAACACAACGCTCAGGGTTAAATAATGAAAGTTAGAAAGTCGTGAGGCGGAAGGACCGGTCCACCACGCGGTTGGTGGACGGATCCTTCCCCTCCTTGAGCTGCCTCAGGGACTTCTCTCCGCCCTTGTTGCGGGGGTTCCCGTGGCAGGGACCCCCGAGCAAGCGGAACCTCGAAGTCCCGGAGGCAGCACATCTGGAGCGCCACACCAGGGAGGAGCCCATGAGCCAAAGCCGATGTGACTTGTGGGCCTGGCGGGCGACCCTGGGGAGGCCCGTGCATGGCATAGCACACGCAGCACGCTCCGACAGGCTTCGACCTCCACAGCGGGTGCAAACATATGCCTTCCCAGCCTTACCAACTCGTTGCATCGCGTGGCCTTGACGGTCTGGCACGAGCTGGAGGCCATCGAACGTCGGACGGCGGGCCTTTTGACTCGCTGGACGTCGGGGAAATTATAATGAAACAAGCGCCTACCCAAGGCGCCAATGAATTTGCAAACCAAACGGACGGAATCGCGACTATCTTTGCGCCTTCGCACAAGCTGCGGGTTGGAAACTTGCGCCTGGGTACCTCTCTGAGCCAGCTTGTCTGCTAAGGTGTGGCTAAGCCAAGCCCAGAACGGTGCACTAGAGGTCCTGGTGCAAGTCTGCCAGGGGAGGTGGGCTTTGATTTTCCTAAGCTCGATACTCTCGAGCCCGAACTCACTGGCCCGGAAAAACGCCTCATCCCACAACTCAGCAAAGGCTACTTGCGATAGATCAGCGTCGGGACCCGCGGTCCAAACATCGAACGCTGCCTGGTAGTCAGGGTATATGACAAGGGAACTAGGGGCAGCTAAACGGATGGCCGTGAGGAGGGCGTCAATCTCTCCCCCCACACTGCGTTGCAGGGGGTGGGATAAGGCCCAAACACACTGCCATCATAACCTCATACTTCCTGCATGCTCACGATAGCCCATCCAGCCCTGGAAGAGAATGGGTTGCCTTGGTCGAGCCCTGACCCGTCTATACAGAGCCGAAGGCCCAGAAGTTTCGAGGGGGGCCGCAAGTGCCAGTGCCTGGACGGGGCTAAGGACAACGAGGGCCAGTCGGCCCCAGGGTCTGGGGTCAGGGCTCTGGTATACAATAAATCTTGCCAGGACTACCTGCACCTTCCCGAACAGCATCTCCTAAGTCCAGATCTCGACGGAAAGGGTGGAAGCCGGGGCACTCATAGAGCCTGTGCTTGGGGGTCCCGACGGCAAGGCCACGTGGTAGGCAGCACGGGTTGACGACTCGACTGTCCATGAACAGTTGCAGCTGACAAGGGTAACCGCCAGAAACCAACCCGCTGAGGAATATGGCCGAGTCAAGATTACTGCATCTCCGAAAGGACTGGATCTCCTCGCGGATGACTGATAGCAGAGGTGGCCTCAACTGGCTAGCAGCTGTTGGCGCTGAAATGTTGTGCAACTGCTGGCGGTGCGTGGCTTGCTCGATCAGGGCGGCCACCGTGTGCCGGCCGAAGGTAGAAAGGTCAATCGAGATCCCGTCCCCGATGTCCCACTTGTCGAACTCCTTACCTCCCCGGCCTAGGCGCGGCAGGGTGGCCAGGACAGCTCCCGTGGGGCCCAGGGCGTTGGACCGCTTGAAGCGGCAGGGTAGGAGGACAGGTATTGCTTCGAGCACGTGCTGAGGATCGACCCAGGGAGCCACTGCTGCTGGATCGCCTGATGCCACATACCCATGGGCAATCCATTGGCTTGGCACGTGGGGTCCAGCTCCGGGTCCTGATTGATGAGAAATTGCGTAGTACGGCTACGGCCTCTAGCTGGGCCGAAGGCCGCATTGCCTATGATGGCCCTAGGCGAGGCCAACTGGGCGGGAGCCATGCCCGTGACCCTTACTCCGTAGAAGGCTGCAAGGATCCCACCAGTCTTGATGACTCTGTGCATGCCCGAGAAGGTGAACTTGAGGCCTCTGAACCTGGAGACCCTTGGGATAAGCGACTGCCACCTACGCTGCTGGATCCTAGTCGGTCGCCTCGGAGCCCCTCGCGAAATCTGCCCCTAGGCTCTTCGTGGCCCCCATGCCCTTGAAGTCCCACGGCATGAGGCCCATGCGAATGACCTGGGGGGCCTGGGCCGACGAGCCCGTGGCGATGCCCTTCGTGGGCGAGATGGTGAACCCCAAGAGCTCCAACTGGACACAGATGAACCTGTTGGCCCCAAGCACCATATGGATGACATGCTTGCGTTTGCCCACAGCCCCGATGGTGATGCCATCTGAAACGTTATAGAGGGAAGTGTTGGGATACAGGCGCACCGCTTCGTCAAGCACGTCAATCAAATGACAAAAAAGGAGCGATATGGCAAACGAGCAACCCGCGAGCATCCCCTGCTTAACGAACATGTCGGTGGATACTCGCATATCTGACTGCAGCGAACGCCTCCCTCGATATAGTGTGATCAGGAACCTAAGACGGTGCGCTCGAAGGCCGTGTTCCACTCCAGCTTGCGCCAAAACGTGATGAGGGGCCTTCTCATAGCACTTCGACATGTCCACGAGTGCGTGCGCCGACTGATGTTTATAGATGTGTGCATGCCCAGTACGAACCGATTGCCCCCATGTGGCACGCTCGCACGATCTGCCCTTGCTGCCAGAGAGGTATGTACGAGGGTGCTCCTGTTCCCATCTCTTAGCTTCGATCCGAGCGAGCCCGCAAGGTCTTCGGCATGGCGGTATACAGCAGCTGGCGGACGAAGCCATCATAGATGTCGGCGTGGTAGCAGTCACCGAGCCGACGAAAGTTGGCTGCAAGTTCTTGCAGCGCTGGGGTGTCGTCTTTGGAGTAGTTGGTCCACGAGCCCGCGGCCGAGCGCGCGCTGAAGCCAGCCTGAGTGGCCAAGCTGGAGACGTAGCATGCGTGGCTGGCCTCCGGGCCCGTCGCCTCGGTCTCCCTGGGGCGGGCCCGTCGCCTGAAGGCCTTGAGGCTTGGGCCCATGGCGCTGGCTAGCCGAATCGCCACCTCCGAGGTCTTTGCCTTTGCCCACCTTGCCGCCCTTGCCGCCCTTGGGGTGGTCCGTGGGCTTGCCTCCGCCCGTGCCGCCCTCACCGTGTGCAGGGAAAGAGCCAAAAGGCGGTAGGCTGGCCCAGGCACCAGCGGCCGCAGGTGGAGCGGACGGCTCCACAAACGCCAAGGGCTGGAGGCAGTGCTTACAGAAGCAGTTGTGCTCCTTCTTCTTCTTCTTCTTCTTCTTGCAACCACAGGTGGGGCATGAGGCCCTGCTGGCACCGGACCCTGATAGGTCAGCATACCATTGTCGAGACTCGCCAGACGGCTTGCGAACCCAAGGAACGCGAGAGAAACCATGCGCCATCTGCGAGCCGAGGCCAGGGGAGAACCTGGCGGGAACATCGGTCTGCTCCTACAGGAGCTCATTGAAAGAAATATTGAATTGCAGACACCTCGTCTGACCGAAGGACAAGGGGTGACACTGGTGGGGGCCGTTCTTCCCCCTTGCCAAAAGGTCAGGTCCTGCGCCTAAACACTATGGACTTGAGCCAAAATGGCTACGGACCCTCCTCCTCCTTCTCCTCCTCCTCGTCCTCCCTCCTCCCCCTCTTCTTTCGAGCCTATCTTTCTGCGCCCCTTTCCGAGCCGCATGTCGGCCTGCCTACGGAGGTGCGGCGGTGGCCTCCTCGCGGAGGCGCGCACGCTGCGCCCGCGCGGGCCCGCGCGGACTTGTCGCCGCGGGGCCGTTTTTTTTGTTTGTTTTGTTATTGTTTCTTCTTCTCTTGCTATTCCTCTTCCTGTATTTGTACAAGCCCGGGCGGGGGGAAAACCCATCCCCCCCCCCCAAAAACCGGACTCCCGGACCTGGGACTTTGGGGCCCTCCGGACGGGCCTCGAAGCGGCCACCGGGCCTCGCAAGGCGTTTTGCCAAGCCTTCCCAGCACACTTAGGGCGATGAGGGGGGTCATCGGAGACGTCCCAGAGACCCCCAAGACAGCATAAGAGCGCTCCAAGAGTGACCGACGTGACCTCAAGATGGCCCAAGAGGCCTCCAGGACGGCCCCAAAGAGGCCTCCAAAAGCACTCCCAAGAAGGCCCCCCGAGGCAAAAATCATTGATTTTCTTTAGGTTTTTGGTGAATTTTGGGGTTCTCCTCTTTTCGGCTTCCCGACGCTCCAAGACGGCGGTCTTCTGGGCGTCCGAAGCCGCCTGGGAGGCTCCCGAATCGCACCACAACCATCCGAAAAGGCTTCCAGGCAGTCCAAGAGAGCCCCCAAACGGCACAACACGGGTCCATGATGGCCCTCAGAGAGCCCCATGGCGACCCAAGATGGCCCAAGAGACACCCTCCGAAGAATTCCAAATCGTGATTCGGTCGTTCAGGGAGACGGCGGTTGGAGGCAGGGTGGCCCGAGGAAGCCCCCAGAATACGCCCAGGAGGCCTCCAGAAGGCCTTAAGAAAGCCCGAAACAACTTTTGTGAGGCCCCTAGAGGCTCTCCAAGCAGGAGCCTCCGCAAAAAAGAGCTGAGGAGGATGGGGAGAATGCGCAGGGTATGGCGAACATGAGGAACAATAAGCATGGAGGAAGGGTAACGAATAACATCATTATAGCGGCGATGCAGGAAAAGGCAACCAGGAGTTATCGCTAAATTGTCGGCTTGACCTTCCTGCCATTCCGCCTGCATCCCAAACTTCAAGGACCAAGGTGCATGGCGCGAAGCGCCACTGCAGTCTTGTATATATATATATATACATATACACACATATATATATATATATATATATATATATTCTGGCGGCCGCCCCCCGCCAGAGCCGACCATGCGCGTCGGGGCGAGAGGCCTCGCTCCCCCCCCCTTCGAGGGTAGGCAGGCAGGCAAAACAGCGGCCTTGTTCCCAGTTCGGGGCACGTCCGGCCCCGCTCGGCCCCCGAGGCGCGGGCGTTGCCAGATTCGGCCGCGGCCTCCGCTGCGTCTCTGGCACAGGGGCGCTCCCCCAGTGCTTGGACATCGTGGAGCTCGGCATCGACCAAGCCAAAAGCTCCTGGCGTTGCGGCTCGGGGATTCTCGCGGGGAGAAGGCGACCCATGCACCACCTTGCACCCCCATTGGGGGAAGGAGAGACAGAGGCGGGTGGAGGATGTGCGTCTTTTTTTGGGTGGGTGTTTTGTCGTTGTTGTTGTTGTTGTTGTTGTTGTTGTTGTTGTTGTTGTTGTTGTTGTGGAGGTGGGTGGGTGGGCGCGCATCGCGGCAACCCGCCTGCCCATCTGGCGCACTTCCAGGCCTTCTCCCCTCGTCACCGTTTTCTTCTTCGGCGTTTCGACATTTGGCGGATGGGGGGGAGGGGGGGGGGTCTGGCTCTGGACCTCTGCTTAATGCGACTGTTTGCAGCAGTGCGTCCTATGGGGGAGGCTCCAGCTGCTCCAAACAGGCGCCAAAAACAGCCAAGATCTACTCCATGGAGGGGGGAAGGGGTGCGAGGGCCCGCGCTGATCGGCAAAACGATGAATGAGGAAACGATCAACGCCCATCTGGCGCACGTCCAGGCCTTCTCCCCTTCCGCGCGCCATCTCTCTCCCCTGCTTGCCCTCGCCTCCGCCTCGCGCCGTCTCTCGCCCAGCGAGGGCGCTCTCGCCGGCTGTGATGCCCCTCGGTCGGAGCCGGCCCGCGCGCTCCCCGGCTTGGCGCCCGTCGGTCGGAGCTTGTGCTCATCTAGGCCTCCCAGATGGGATCGAAGTAGATGGGGTTGGAGGATCGTGCCGCATTGTCGATGCATCGACGATGCAGCTCGATGCGGAGCCCGATTTTCTCCACGCCGATGCGTCGCCGATGCGTCGCCGACGTCGGCGATGCATCGACGATGCATCGCCTTGGCGATGCGGCGCGATCTTCCGACCACATCTAGTCGGACCCCATGTAGGAGGCCTCTAGCGCAGCGGCTGGGAGGAGACTGCTCGCCGTTCACGAATCGCTCGCGCGTGCGCGCCCAAGTCCTACATCTGTAACCCGCGCGACCCTCCGCGTGGCCTCGAAGGGGCGGTCCGCTCAGTTGGCCCACGACCGCCTGGATGCGGTGCGACTGAACGGGCATGGGAGGGGTGTGGGTGGGGGGAGGGGAGGAGGGCAGGGGATAGAGGAACAGACAATGCACAAGCACAATGTTTGGGAGGTCCGCGCGGACTTCTCTTGGATCGGCGCTGGGCCCCCCTCCCCTGCGCGCGGAGCGCGCCAGTGGCGGCGTCGGAGGCGCCGCAAGACACCCGCGCGAAGCTCCGAAGGCTGATGTCCAGGCCGCTTTTACTCCTGCGGGGAGAGGCGGAGCGGGGGTAGACGGGGGAGGGCCTGGGCATGCTGCACGTCCGCCCGCCAGCTTTCGGTCGGGCATGTCCCCCTGCAGGCGGATTCGGGGGCGAAAGGCAACACATGCTCACAACACGCCCCAACCCTGCCTGCGTGTGCGCGCCCGATGCAGCCCGGGCGATCCGACGTCGCGGGAAAATGCGGCATCGTGAAGGACCGCGACCAGCGCCCCTCACCCCATCTGGCTGCCCGTTTTTCACACCGCGCCGGCCTGTGAGGGTCCCAGGGGGCCCGAAGCCGGGCGGAAAAACGCCAGGCTCGGAAAAGTCGGCGCCGCCAGGATCTCAGGGAAACCGCGGTCCTCGTGGCGACGGGCTTCGGACTCCGCTGCCCTCGCATGGGCCGCAAGAAGCGACCACGGCACCGACGCGCGCGCGTGCTGTGCAGCGCGCGAGGTGGGGTGCAGCGGGGCGGCGAGGCGCGTCGGGGGGACCACGGCGTACTGCATGCGCGAGATGGTGCAGAGCACCTTGTACCAGGCCAGCTGCCTCATCGCCATGCGGGCCCTGGCGGAGGCGCCGCGGGGATGGACAAACGCGTTCCACTGCTCGCAGAGCATAGGGGAACGAAAAATGGCATAAACATAAAAAACTCGGAGGTCCGCGCGGATTTCTTGGATCCGCGCTGGACCCCACTCCCTGGCGCGCGGAGCGCGCCAGGGGCGGCGCCGGAGGCGCCGCCAGGGGGCCCTAGCGCCGATCCGAGACACCTGCGCGGACCTCCGAGTTCTTATGTTTATGCCATTATTCGTTTTCCTAGAGTAACTGCTCGCACTGGGCCTGGATCCGCGGCGGGGGACTCACGAGACGCTACACGTCGCTCATTTCTAATCGTGCTCATTTCTAATTGTGCTCGCTTCTAGTGGTTCCTGGCCACCTGGTGGCCAGGAAGAGGCCCAGGATAGCACAATCAGAAATGAAAGGATCTTGGACCCCCAAAAAAATCAAAAGAAGTTTCAAATACTTAGAAAGGAGCAGTGTGCACGTCGAGGCAAGCCTGTGTGTTCTCTGACGCCTGCGAGAGCAGGCGCTCCGCAAGAGCAGCGGAGCGCGCTCGGCGAGGGGGGGGAAGATCGGTGGCACCCGGCCTGCCCCGGGGGAGAGAGCTCCGGGAGGCTCCGAGGCCAGGGCCTTGGCCCTGCGAGCCGAGGGGCTCCGAGGCCGGCGGGCGCGGGGGAGGCCTCTCAGCTCCCCTGCGTCCTCCTCCTCCTCCTCCTCCGCCTCCTCTCCTCCTCCTCCTCCCCTCCCTCCTCCCTCCTTCCCCTCCTCCCTTCCCGTCCTCCCTCTACTCCCTCCTCCTCTCCTCCTCCTCCTCCTCCCCATCCTCCCTCTCCTCCTCCTCCCTCCTCCTTCCCTCCCCCCTCTCCCTCCTCCTCCTCCTCCTCCTCCTCCTCTCCTCTCCTGTCCATCCTCGTCCTCCCTCGTCCTCCTCCTCCTCCCCTCTCTCACCCTCCTCGCCTTCATCTTCCTCCTTCCCTCCTCCTCCTCCTCCTTCCTTCCTCTTTCCTCCTTTCGTCTCCTGTTCTCCTTTCTCTTTCTCTTCTCTTCCCCTCTCCTCCTCCTCCTCCTCCTCCTCTCCTCCTCATCCTCCTCCTCCTCCTCCTCCTCTTCCTCGTCCTCCTCCCCGCCTCTCCCCGCAACCTTCGCTCGGGCGCACGCTAACATGGCTTAGGGATCCGTGGATCGTGCTGCCAGATGCAGGTCTGCGGAGACCGTATGGTGACAGATCCCGTGTGCATAATTGGGGCATGCAATGATACGTGCCGCATTGTTTTGTATTGTATTCCGCCACTTTGTGCCCCCCACCAGAGCCACGCCCCATCCAGGGTACCAAAGGTAGCGGCCCTTCGTGAGGCTCAGAAGCGTACAGAAACCTACGAGAAACCAGTGATTTTGGCTTTTTGGGCTCCTTGAGGGTCGAAGACGGCTTCGCGACGGCTCTGAAGGGTTTCCATCTAGCTCAAGATGGCTCCGAGACGGCCCAAGATGGCCCCAACGCTGCCCAAGGTGGCCCCAACACAGCCCCAGAGGCCCTCGAGACGGCCCACAAGGGATCCAAGAGGACCCCTCAGAAGGCCTCAGCAGTAAGACCATGGTTTTTTTCCCCAGGTGTAGGGAAGCGTCTGGCGTCCTCGACTCTTCGGGCACGGCCCCTGGATGCCTCAAGATGGCACAAGAAGCCCCGAGAGGGCCCCAGGACGGCCCAGGAGGGCCCCAAGGAAGTCCCAAGACTCAAACCCCCGACGCCGTGCTGTTTCCCCGGCGTCGACCCCCGCAGGTCTAAACCCCTCCCGCGGGACGGGCTTCTCGTCGTGAGTCGTTTTTGGACGGTCCGGGGTGAGGGCCCCTGAATGCCGAGAGTGGAGAAAATCCTTCCGTCGCAATTTCCTTCACAGCGCGAGGGGGTCTGGGGGACGGCCCCCGCGTGGGCCCCAAGACGGCCCAGGAGGCCCCCAGGGACGGCCCCTGGAGGCGTGGAGGCCCCAGGAGGGCACCGAGACCGCCCCACGAAGGCCCCCAAGGACGGCTCCCAGAAGGCGCCGGATGGCCCCAGAGAGGGCCCCGAAGACGGCCCAGGGCACGCCTCCAAGACGCCCCAGTCAGGCCCCCAAGGAGCCCCACGACGTCGCCCAGGAGACCTGCAAACGTGCCCAGGAGAGTCCCGGCGCACATGCCCCACGCATGCCGGACGTGCGCTCCCCTCACGGCGCCTCCAAGACGCCCCGTCAGGCCCCCAAGGAGCCCCAAGATGTCCCCAGGAGACCTCCAAACGTTCCCAGGAGAGCCCCGACGCAGTTACCCTACGCATGCCGGACGTGCGTTCCGCGCGAAGCGAGAGAACAGGTCGGGGAGCGTACCCCACAAGACATGGCGCCAGTGCCGCCCCATGTGCTGACAGCGCGCGCAGATTCTGCACGGAAACGGGACCCGTCGCTAATCCACGCGCCTTGATTCATGTTTGCGCTTCCTAGGGGCCTCCTGGATGGGGTTGGAGTAGATGTGGTCCGAGGGTCGCGCCGCATCGCCGATGCATGAGCGATGCACTGTCGACGTCGGCGATGCATCGGCGCCGTCGACGTGAAGCAAATCGAGCTACACATCGAGCCGCATCGCCGATGCATCGGCCAGGCGGCGCGATCCTCCGACCCTGTCTGCTCCGGCCCCGTCCGGGAGGCCGAGATGCTTGCGCTTTCTCGATTGCACCTCCTCCTCTTCCTCTTCCTCCTCCTCCTCCTCCTCCTCCTCCTCCTCCTCCTCCTCCTCCCACTTTCCCCGCCTTCCCCCTTGGGGCCGGCGGCCGCTGGAGCGGCAGGCGGCCGAGAGGCGGGAACCCACCACGAGTCCCCCTCCCGCTCCGCCCTCGCTCTCTCGGGCCGGAGGCCTCGGCCTGCTCTGCCAAGGGGGGGAGCAGCGGGGCCCTCCGGGAGTCGGCTGGCGATCCCAGGAGCTGTGTGGGAAGGGGGAGGACGAGGATGAGGATGAGGAGTCGCGAACAACGCCGCGATCTCCGATCCATGTCTGCGCAACGTGAAGATGAGGAGGCGCCAACGCAGTCAAGGGGGTCCGTCAGCGAGGAGGCTTACGAGGACGAGGCAAGCCAAGAGCGGCAACAGGCTCGGACCGCGATCGCCGAGCGAATCAAAAACTGCGCACACTGAACCGCAGCCGAGGCGGGAGGGTGACCTCCAGGTTTGGAGGACTTCGGGGCACGACAGCTGCAGCAATGTCGCGTGACGCATGGAGCTCGAAGCACCCTGCCGTGGTGAGCGCGTCGCTGCAGCTGCGCCTGCAGCGTAAAAGCTGGCACGGACCACACGCCGTCGGCGGAGGGTCCACCTCTGCAGGCGCGGAGGGCGCAGCAGAGGGACCAGTGGACCAGCATGATGATGATGATGATGATGATGATGATGATGATGATGAGGAGGAGGAGGAGGAGGAGGAGGAGGAGGAGGAGGAGGAGGAGGAGGAGGAGGAGGAGGAGGAGGAGGGGAGGGGGAGGGGAGGGGGAGGAGGAGGAGGAGCAGGTGGGGGCTTCGGCATTCGCGGGGCACGCCTGCACGGCCCGCGCCATCCGGAGAGGTCGGTGGAGTCGCTGCGAGCTGCAGCGCGCCAAGAGCCGAGCGGGTGGCCTCCGGGCTGACGGCGGCTCTTGCCTGCGGCGGTGAGAGCGGAAGCACCTCAGCTGCGGCCGCAGCTGGAGGGGCGCGCCTCGGACCCGTCGTGGGTGAGGCGATGCCTCGGCGGGCCAAAAAGAGCGCGGCCGAAGGACATACACCACCAGAACCTGGTGGAGGTCTCGGCGTGGCCTCGGCTGGCGCGGAGGGCGAGGCAGAGGGACCAATGCCACCAGAACGGTGGGGGCCGCGGAGCACAAGGGACGCGCGAAGGCCAGCGCTCTGGAACCGCAGAGGCGGCTGGCTGCGGCGGGTCCGTTTGTGAAGGTCCTACTACAGCAAGCGCGGGATGCGCACCAACGTCACCGCTGGTCAGTGGCGGCCGCAAATTCCGAGCGAAGAGCACGCTGCAGGGTCCACGCCGCCGGAGGAGGTCGAGGGCTGCGCAACTGCAGTGGCAAGGCCCGCTGCAGGGCCATCCCCCGACACGAGAGGCCTGCGGTGACACTGTAGAGGCTGGCTGTGTCGCTGCGGAGCCGGTGTGCACGGGCGCGGCAAGGCCAGAAGGGCGGGAGCCGCCATGCGGTGTGCCAATGGAGGCCTTGTCTTGGTGGCTGGTAGACTCATGTAGCTCCCATCGTACTTAAAAACCACATCCCAGAAATAATTTCGAGCACCCGGAAACGTGTCGAAAGAGTGTCGAAACGGTGTCGGACGAGTGTCTCCCAGGGCCCGACACGCGAAAGCCCTCGAGTTTTGGTACTTTGTTGGTGCTCGAAATTCTTTTTCCGGTGATCAAGGCTGACGTCGGCTGGAACATCATCATCGTAGACGTGCTGTTGGCGCTACTGGAGCTGGCGCTGCCAGCAGGCCGAGCGTGGCAGCGGCGGCCAGCGAGGGCCGATGCGGCGCACCGCCCGGGGGCAGCCGATGGGCGCAGTGTCTGCTGTGCGTGCCGTGTGCCCGCGGCGGCGGACGCGGAGCATCGGGGGGCAAACGCGCTGGCTCGCGGCACGCGCACGCCGCCACCCGGCTGGAACGGAAGCCACGACGATGCTTCACCCCACGGCGCGCCCCCCCGAAAGCGCGACGGCCGGCGCGGGCTCCTGGGAGGCGTGGCGTCTGCGGCGTCCGCGGCGCCGCCGGGGTGCGCGCCTGTCTCTCGCGGCCTGGCTGGTGGGCTCCGAGTGATGCCGCATGGTGCTGCGAGTAGCCCTGCTCGGTGCCGTCTGGCTGGGGGTGGAGTTGCTGCTGGTCGCGCCAGCGTGTTCAGCTGCAGGCCGCGCAGCGGCTGCCCATGGCGTCGGATATGGGTCAGCTGCGGCCAGTCGCGGTGGAGGTACATTGGGAGCTCGGCCACCTTCCACAAGAAACCCAACACTGAGACCCCAGGACGTCCATTGATTTTTGGTGGGGGGACGTCACGCTTTCCATAGCAAAACCATCGAAACCCAAGAAACTCAGGGCACCCTGGAGGCAAGCAGGGTGTTTCTTCGCATGGGTCTCCACTGTATCGCGAAAAGCGTCGGCAATGACGACTGCAGGAGCGGAGGGGGCAGAGGAATGCGTGCGGGTCAGGGACGATGCCGTTCCAAGCTGCCCAAGCCAAGGTATGCGTGGGAGGCGCGCGCGCAGGGGCACCCTCCACGGGGAGGGTGGCGGGGGAGACTGCGCTGGGGCTGCCCCCCCAGGGAGCTGCGGGTTCCCGTCGAGCTGGTACAAAGCGGTGGCGCTGTACGCTGCGCTGTTGCGACTGCAAATGGCCCTGCTGAGTCCCGCCATGCTGGGCTTCATGTTGCTGCTGGTTGTGCTGGCGCTGCCGCGAGCTACCCTGCTGCCTTCTCGCGTGCTGGAGACACAGGTGCTGCTATCTTCGTTGGTGTGACTGGGGGCTCGCTGGCAGCGAACGGTGCTGCTGGCCACGTTTGGGGGGCGACAGTGGTGCTGGTCGCGACGGTGCGGCAACGTTCGGTGCTCCGAGGTTCCGTCGCGTCGGTGACGTTGGTGTGGCAAATTGTGCCAAATGCGATCGCTGCTGAGTCGGTGGGTCAGTCTATCCGCAGGCGCCCGATGCCACCCACTGAGCAACACTTACCTTACGACGACCCGGTGGAGCACCGTCGGGCTAGAGGCCGTGCTGCAGCAGGCTGCGTGCTGCGCGTCGCCTGGTGCCAGTGGCGCCTGCTCGCAGCGCTTGGCGCGTTGTTGTTGGGCATGTGCGGCAACGGCTGTCTCTGTGGGGCTCCCATCGTACAAGGAACAGTGATGCTGCTGGCTGCATTTGCTCTCAAGCGAATGGCACTGCTGCTGCCCATCATGCGGGACGTGTCGAGAGCGCCAGCAAGGACGGTTCGATGCGTCCGCGGGGCGGGAAGGGAGCGTGAGCCGTGGGCAAAACAAAAGTCCGAAGGTTGGCCGACTTGGATGAGGTGAGCTGACGTAGAGAAGTGACCCTGGTCAGAGCCGGGGAAAAAGTGTGGCACAGGGCCTCCCAAATAGAGCCAGGGTTGGTGTTGCTATGTGCGCCATCCTGGCTAGGGCCAAGCAGGCGGGCGCTGGGAGGCGCCTCGGGATGAGGCTCCGTCGAGGCGCGCGGCGGAACGGAGTGCTCTGCGCCCGTACGCAAGGGGCACTGGAGAAAGCAGTGCGCGTGCGGCTGCGCGGAGCGCGCAGCAGCAGGGGCGTTCTACTGTTATGTCGGGCGTGTCCCCCTACAGGGGGATTTTCGACGAAAAATAGAAAATACCCCAAAAATACCCCAAGAAGGTCAAACATACCCCACAAATAATCCCCAGACTATTTTTGGACTATTTTTTGATTATTTTTGGGGTATTTCCCTACCTAGGACTTGCCTAGAGGGTTCTTACTCTCTTTCTTAAAGTGGCCGGGCAGTGCACACCGCCCCGGGCAGTTCCCCCAGTATCCGCCCCGCGGTTCCCCCAGTTACGTCCCCTTAGCTTAGCGTTGCTTATCTCATCTTAACTTAGCTTGTTTCATCTTAGCTTAGCTTAGCTTCATCTTAGCTCAGGTTTATCTTAGCTTAGCTTACCTTCATCTTAGCTTCGCTGAGCTTTAGCATAGCAGAGCACAGCATAGCATAACGTAGCATAGCATAGCGCAGCACAGCATCTAATAGCATAGCCCAGCATAGCATAGCATAGCATAGCAGAGCATAGCATAGCGCAGCACAGCATAGCACAGCGCAGCATAGCATAGCATAGTATAGCACAGCATTACATAGCATAGCATAACATAGCGCAGCATAGCATGGCATAGCGTAGCATAGCAACAAATGCTGCTTTCCTAGGGGCTCCAAATTCTAGGTAGGGTCGCACTGGGGTAACTTTTATTTTTCGTTGAAAATCCCCCTGTAGGGGGACAGGCTCGACTTAATTCTACTGTGCTGCCGTGGGGCACGAGGACGGCGAGCCCGCACCGCCGCACGGCAGTCATCTGGAGCGCGGCAGGCGTCGCGCCGCGGCGGCGCGCGCGCTCGCGCGCGTTGGGGGGCCCAGGACGCGCTCGCTGACCGCTTGGAGGCTGGTGGATGCGAGATCTCGCAAGCGGCGGCATCTCGAGCCCGAACGGCTGCGGAGGCGGGAGGAGGAGGAGGAGGAGGAGGAGGAGGAGGAGGAGGAGGAGGAGGAGGAAGAGGAGGAGGAGGAGGAAGAGGAGGAGGAGGAGGAGAATGCGGGAGGAGGAATGCAGCGCAGCCCACCCCTGGATCCCCACCTCGCAAGGGAGGTGGGGAGATCGCTGTGTCCACCAGCAGTACGCGGACGACCAGGCCGACGGGTGTTCCCGAAGAAAAGGTCGTGAGCAACCCAAGTGAGTTGAATAACCAACCCCTGCTGGGACGGACAAAATGGCCACCTGAGTCGGGGATTCCCGAATTGAGGCGGTGTCTGGGTCACCTCGGCTCCTGCATTTAATCCCCATCCCCACTCCACTCCGACAGAGGCGCGGTGACGGCGGAGGGGCGACCACCAAGCTGCTCGCGAACACAAAAACGAGGAACGCTGACCATGCTGGCACGCCCGCATCCAGTGCCCCCTGTATGCAACGAGCGGAGAGCGGGGAGGATGCAACTGGGCCCCCCAAGGTCTCGGGGGACTGAAAAAGCATGGGGCGCCGTGCGACCTTCCCCCTCCCCTCCCCCCTCCTCCCCCCCCCTTCCACCTCCTGCGGTCCCAAAGGCTCGTGCCTCACCCACCACGCCCATCTGTGCCTCGCCGGCTCCGTCACCACCCCAGTGGAGCAGCTGCACCACCTGGGAGATCAGTTCCTCCACCCCCCTCCTCCTCCACCTCCTCTTACTTGTCGTCGCCCTCCGCTTCCTCCACCTCCTCTTGCAGAGCAAATCGCCCCAACTGGCAGCTGTGGTTCCCCCTGCTCGCCCCCCTCGCTGTGCCGAGGCGCGCCGTGCGGCGTGGGGGCGGGGACTGTGGCCTGGTGAGGTGCAGCTCCCGCTGGCGCGCCAAGAAGAAGGCCATGGCTCCTCCCGGGCCCGGCGGCCCAAGGACAAAGCTCGGGGAGGGAGGGAGGGAGTGGGGAGGGGGGAGGGAGGGAGGGAGGCAGGAGGGAGGAAGAGGAGGCAGGGGGGGCCTCGGAGCGGAAAGGCGTGCACTCGCCAAGCCGTGCTGGCACCCAAGGGGATCCCGCTCTGCTGACTTCTGCAGTTGGACGGGCTCGCCAAGGCTTTACCACGTTCCCGCCCGCGGGCGCCCCGTGCCCTGCGTGGGGTCTGCCGAGGTGTCGCCCAGTGCCCGTCCGTGGGGCGCCTCGCGGGCGCTCCGCGCCCTGGGCGGGTCCGCCGAATGCTCGCCCGGTGTGGTGCGCGTGCGCGGGCGCCGCGTGGGCGCCCTGCGCCGTGAGCGGGTCTCCGAGGAGGTGTCGCCCCGTGCCCGCCCGCGGGCGCCTCTTGGGCGCCCCCGTGCCCCCGGGTGGGTCCGCCGAGGTTGCGCCTGGCGGCCGCCTCGTGGGCGCCTCGTGGGCGCCCCCGTGCGCCGAGTGGGTCCGCCGAGGCTTCGCCTGGCGGCCGCCCGTGGGTGCCTCGTGGGCGCCCCGTGCCCCGGGTGGGTAACAACACAGCTGTCACACCGCATGGCTTACACAGCCTAGCTCACACCACAGCGCAGGTCACGTTGCAGAGCTCACACCACAGAGCTCACACCACATGGCTCACACAGCCCAGCTGACACCACATTGTGCACAGCACATATCGTGCTCACTCTATCCAGCACCGCATAACCTACGCTGCGCAGCTTCCACCTCCACAGTGCAACAACTCACTATTTCGGGTCCACGCTGGCGAGCATTCCCCAAACACTGCTTGCACTGAAGGGTTCTTGTTTGGCTTCCCTTCTTAGGCCATCGGGTGGGTTTCCTGGACTTTCGCCACGTTGGCGCCCGTGCCCGCTCGTGGGCGCCCCGTGCGCCGGGTGGGCTTCCCGAGGGTTCGTCTCGCTGGCGCCCGTGCCCGCTCGCTGGCGCCCTGCGCGCTAGATCGGCTTCCCGAAATTTTGCCCCGTTGGCGCCCGTGTCCGCTCGGTGACGCCCCGTGGGCGCCCCGTGCGCTTACACCACATAGCTTGCACAACATAGCTTCCGCCTCAAAGCTTGCACCACATTGCTTGCAACCCATAGTGCTTACCACATAGCTCACACCACGTCCCTTACTCACTATAACTTGCACACTACAGATTCTACGGCTTCGCGTTGACAGCATAGCTGACCCAACATATCTTACACCACACAGCTCGTACAGCATAGTTCGCAACATATACATAGCTTGCACCACAAAGCTTGCACATTATAGCCCCTCACCACATAGCTTTCACAACGTATTGTCCGCTTCCACAATACGACGACTCAACCGTTTGGGGTCCACGCTTATCACTATTTTTTTTTTGTTTGCTTTCCGTTGTCTGGTTTGATTTGGTTTGTTCAGTTTTTTTTTTTTTTTTTTTTTGGGGGGGTGGGACTTTCTTTTTCTTTTGTGCTCTTAATTCGATATTTTCGTAAGCTCGGCTGTTTGGTACACATAACGACCAGGGCGGCCAAACAAGGCCCCGACGTCCCGAGGACCCCAAGTGGTGGACGGGAGGCTCCCAAAACGGGGTGGTGGTGGGGGGGGGGGGGCTCGAACTGCAGTTGGAGCTCATCACCCCGCGACGGCCCCCGAGACAGCCAACAGGTCCCCAAAGGGGCCCCCAAGAGGTCCCCAGAGGCTCCCAGGAAAGCTTCGAGAGGCCCCCCCCAAAGCCTCTGCTTCACGACCTGGGCACGGTGGGATGGGCCGAATGCCACTAGATAGCACACATCCACACGCACGCACCTCAACTAAGGACGAGACTGCTGCTGCTGCTGCTGCTGCTGCTGAGGACGACGATGATGACGATGATGACGATGATGACGAGGATGATAACGATGATGATGATGCTGATGTTGATGATGGTGATGACGATGATGATGATGCTGGTGATGAATATGAACGTGGTGATGGTCATGCTGATGATGATGATGACGATGTCGATGGGTATGTTGATGGATATGAGGATGACGATTCTGATGCTGCTGATGATGACGATGATTATGATGGTGATGATGATGACGACGATGCTGCCGATTAGTTATGATGGCGATGGTGAGGATCATGACGATACTGATGATGTTGATGATGACGGTGGTGCTGATGAGGATGATGATGATGCTGATGATGCGGATGATGCTTTTGAGGAAGACGAGGATGAGGACGATGACGACGATGACGACGATGCTGATGATGATGATAATGATGCTGGTGGTGATGCTGATGCTGGTGATGATAATGCTGCTGCTGATGACGATACGGATGACGGTGACGATGACGATGATGATGCTGATGACCAACAGCATCAGGATGAGGATAACAGCAAGGATGATGGCGATGAGAGCATCGACGACGACGAGGATCGGCCACGGGTGTGGGGCAACACGATGGGAGATGACGGCAGAGGACGCTCCTTGACCACCCTGGACCCCACGCTGGAAATATCTAATTATCCCGGCAAAGCAACCTAACAGCGCTGTGTAGAAGCATAGCTGGAAACATTGCCTGCGGTATTCATGTAAGAGTGCTGTTGTAGAATTCTGGTGTTCTCGCAGTCGCATTCGGATTCGCAGTGGCAGTCGCAGTGGCAACATCAGCGGCAGTCGCAGTGGCGCTGCCAGTAGTTGCAGTAGCAATAGCTACACTAGCAGCAGCAACAGCAGCAGCAACAGTAATAGTAACAGTAGTAGTAGCAGTAGAAGTGGTAGTGATGGTAGTAGTGGTAACAGTGAAGTAGTCGTTGTAGTGTGTGGAGTGAACGAGTAGGAGTGATGGGAGCAGTGGTAGTTGCAGTAGAAACACTTTTGAATGCCTCAGTGTCCTCGGTCTTGTCTCGCTTTTGCTGCATGAGCTCCTCGGTCTTCTGCTTCCGCTTGAGCTCCTCGGTCTCCATCTGCTGATCAGCACAGCCCAGGGCCCGCAGTTCATGCAAACTGTTTTTGGGGATGCGGTCGCGATGGTCCGAGAAACGTTTGGCCAACTTGTTTTCGGCCCGTTCTTGTTCGGACGTTCTTTTATTTCGCTTCGGTATCCGGCCGAACTGCTTCACGTGCTCGACGAGCGTTTGCAGAGGACCGCTCAATGCAGCACGCTGAGGCGCAGCGCTGTTCCTTGCCGCAGGCTGAGGAGCACCGCTGTTCAATGCAGCAGGGTCAGGAGCACCGCCGCCGGACCGAGAAGTATCAGCATGTCCTGGCATTAAGGTGCGCAGTAGGCGCTGCGCAATTCCTTTGAAAGGAAATCTTCGAAAGCAGGGCTGTAGCCAAGAATGCTACGGGGACGATGATGATGATGAAGATGATGAGTCTTGGAAGTCTGGGAAATTGAAGAGCACGAAATGGCGTACAGTTGGCTCCGGGCATTCAAAATGTGGCCCGGGAATGCTGTTCTGGGAAGCCCAAGAACACGAAATGGCCTACAGTTGGCTCCGGGCATTCAAATGTGCCCGGGATTGGTGTTCTGGGAAGTCCAAGAGCACGAAGTGGCCTACAGTTGGCTCTGGGCATCCAAAGTGTGGCCCGGGAATGGAGTTCTGGGAAGTCCAAGAGCACGAAGTGGCCTACAGTTGGCTCTGGGCATCCAAAATGTGGCCCGGGAATGGAGTTCTGGGAAGTCGAAGAGCACGAAGTGGGGGACAGTTGGTTCCGGGCATTCAAAATGTGGCCCGGGAATGAAGTTCTGGGAGGTCGAAGAGCACGAAGTGTGTGACTGTTTTGTTAAAACAAGCCCGGCCCTCGCCTGTCCGGCTCCCGCCCAGACCCCCCTGGGGAGTCATCAGATGCTCTCTTTTGACCCCATTAGAAACCTATCAATCTTCGCTGTTAAGTAAAACCCTCCTCAAGCTTTCCTCCTCCTACCCCACTCCTCCTCAGCCGCCTTATCTCCTTCCTCGACTCGCCGCCTACGTGCCAATGTAATCAATCACCTGGGCCCTCCTCAATTCCTCTTCCTCCTGACTCCCTCCTACTCCTCCTCCTCGTCCGCCGCCTCTTCTTCTTCCGTCTGCTCCTCCTCTTCCTCCTCCTCCCCGTCTCAATTTCTCTACTTCCTGCTCCTCTTCTTGCTCCACCGCAACCTCCCCTTCCTGACCACCTCCTCCTCCTGCCCCTACGCACAATGCCCCTCCCACCCATGGGGGATCCGGCGGCGGCGACGCTCACGAGCGCCCGTCGGTTCTGGGCCGCCTTCAGGAGCCACCGGGCGAGCTTCCGCGGGCAGTCCTGGCCGCGCCCCGCTCGGGCTGCGGAAGAGGATCACTGGCCAAACTGCCACGTCTGCGAGCGGGCCGCCACTGGACAGGTCCGCGGGTGAGTTATGGCGGCTACAGCAGGAACTCGACCACAAGAAACCTTCCACAAGAAACCCAAACTTGAGACCCCAGGAGGTCCATAGATTTTCGGTGTGGGGACGTCCGTCATTCTTTCTGTAGCAAAACCATCGCAACCCAAAAGCCCCATGGCACCCTGGAGGCAAGCAAGGTGTTTCTTGGCATGGGTCTCCACTGTAAGTTGACGGACGTCCGTCTACGTGCCGCGCTATGCGATACGCCAACCAGCGGCCCCGCCGAGGGAGTCCTCTGGCCTGCAATGGAATCGACAATCGGGGCGAGTCCTGAACTCGCCATCGCGCAGATCCTTTCTGGTAGAACCTTCAGGCTGCCTGTTCGTGGCGGTGCCAGACGGAGGCCGACGGGGAGTCACCAGCAGGGGGAGAGGAGCCAGGGTGGAGGCGGCACGCGAGAGTTCGGGTGGGGGATCGACTGCAGAACTGATTTGCCCCAGAACTTATTTGCCAATCGAATCCGCGAGAAGTGCGCAACATGCTCGCAGGTGTGCGGAACATTCCGCACACTTCTCGTCGATCCGAGGGGGGAAATCAGTTCCAGGTTAAATCGGTTCTGTAGTCGATCCCCTATTCGAGGAGTTGGAGGCGCACGAGAGGTCGGGCATACATATAGATTCGCCGGCCCATCGGGCGAGAGGCGTGCTGAGATCTCCGGTAGCTGGTTGACAATATATTTCTAGTTCGCGCGCGCGGAGCGGCCCCTGGGGGCCCCCGGACGAAAAGTACCCCAGCAAGGTCCCGGGAGAAGCCACCAGAGCACTCCAGGGGAGGGCCATTTTTCGACACCCCTCACGAGGATCGTGGCCTCCGAGGGGGGAGCCGCAATCGACTACCCCCAAAAGCCCCCCAAGAGGCCCTGGGGGCCCCCAAGACGCCGCCAAGGAGCCCCAAGAGACTCCCAAGAGGCCCTAAAGAGGGCTCCAGGGCCGGCGGAATGAGCGAAGCGATTAGATATTGGTTGCAACAGTTGCATACGTATAAGCATTAGGGCCAACTTCGTGAATGACGACGACCAAGTGATAGTGGTACAGACAGAGAATGGCTGTCGATGCGACCCCCCTTGGGCCCTACATGCCAGGAGGTGGATGCCTACTCGGAGCACGACGACCCGTTCGTCGCCGCTCCCCCTCCGCACTCCCGCCCGTGCCGCCCAGCCTCGCGCACCGCGCGGTGCGCGGCGCGCGGTGACCCTCGCGCCCTCGCGCCCTCGGTGCTGCCCCCCCCCCCCCCTCGGGGGCGCGCAGACATGGATTAGCGATCCGTGGATCTGGCGCGCGGTCGCCGAATCCGTGGGTCGGGGGAGGTGCCCTCCCCAAAATGCGGCCGGTGCCGCCTCGCTCGGCGGCGGAAATCGGCGCTTTTCCATGGAAACGGGACCCGTCGCTAATCCACGCCCCCCTTGATCCATGATTGCGATCGCCGGAGTAGTCGATTCCCCCAGTCGAAGAGTTGGAGGCGCACGAGGAGGTCGAGCACGACGACCCGTTCGTCGCCGCTCCCCCTCAGCACTCCCGCCCCGTGCCGCCCAGCCTCGCGCACCGCGCGGTGCGCGGTGACCTTCGCGCCTTCGACCTCGCGGTGACCTTCGCGCCCTCGTGACCTTCGCGCCCTCGCGGTGACCTGCGCGGTGCGTGGTGATCTTCGCGCCCTCGGGGCTGCCCCCCCCCCCCCCCCAGTGGAGAAGGGCGGCCTCTCCAGTCCAGGCCAGGCCGCGACGCACGACGCGCGATCACAGCGTCGCGCGCCCCCGCAGGCGACCCAACCTTCGCCGCTCTCCCCTCCCGCTCCCCGCCCTCGCCCCTGTCCCTCCTCGCCGGCGCTGCCGTCCGCATGGCCGTTGTCGCCGCCGCCGCCCCCGCTCTCCCCCCTCCTCCCTCTGCTCCCCGCTCGTGCGCTCCCCTCTCGTCGACCCGTGCCGCGCCCGCGCCTCCCCGCGTGCCCGCCAATCCCCCGCCGGGCTCTGGAGATCGGCCTGCCACGGGCAGGGGGAGGGATCTTTGGGATGCCCCGGCTGCTCGTTGGGACTGCGAGGGTCTTCCGGAGCGTTCTGAGGACGAGGAGGAGGGTGGGGGGGAAGGATCAGAAGGGGAGGCGGCAGAAGCTGGAGAGGGATGAGGGAGGGCCGCATCTCCCGCTGTGCCTCTGTGCCCATCTGCACGGACCTCCCCAATTCACTCCTTCTCTTCTGTCCTTCTATGCCATGCGCGAACGCAGAGGCCCCTGACCATGCTCCACGACTACACCTCCGTTGTTGTCCTCCCCTTGCATGCTCCGCCTGCCCTCCACCCGACACCGCTTCCTCGTCTCGACCGTCTTCCTCATCCTCCACTCCTCTTCCTCCACTAACAGAGGACCTCGCTAAACTCCCTAGCCTGATAAATCCTTCTCCTCCACTCCTCCTCCTTCTCCTTCTCCTCCGCCTCCTCCTCCTCCTGCCTGACGCTGAATCTCTGCGCGGTAACGCCCCCCGCCTCGCCCTCACGCTGCCCTGTCTGTCGTTCGGGGATAGGGGACGGGGAGATAAGGGATGGGGAACCGACAAGCTTGGTGCGCTCGCCCCAAATCTGAGATCCTAGCCCTCCCACACCCGTTTTATTGCGCTGTCCTTTTCTCTATCCACGGACACGTGCCATTGCGGACCTGGAACTCCAACACTATTTACCAATGCATGCGCAATAAGAACAGGGGAGCTGAGTACATAAGAGGAGGTGGCAGATGAGCATGAAGATGAGCAGGAGGCCGGAGGAGGAGGAGGAGGAGGAGGAGGAGGAGGAGGAGGAGGGGGAGCAGCATGAGGAGGAGGAGCAGGAGGAGGAGGAGCAGGAGGAGGAATAATGAGGAGGAAGAAGAGGAGGAGACGGAGGAGGAGGAAGAAGAGGAGGAGGAGGAGGAGGAGGAGGAAGCGGAGGAAGAGGCGGAGGCGGAGGCGGAGGAGGCGGATGAGGAGGAGGATGAGGATGAGGATGAGGATGATGATGATGATGATGAGGAGGAGGAGGAGGAAGAGGAGGAGGAGCAGGAGGAGGAGGAGGATGATGATGATGATGATGAGGAGGTGAAGGAGGAGGAGGAGGAGGAAGAGGAGGGAGGAGGATGAGGAAGGAGCAAAAGGGCGAACAGCAGCAGCAGGAACTGGAGCGGAAAGAGCGGGAGATGCAGGAGGACCAGGGGACGGCGGAGGAGGAGAAACGGAGGGGGGGCGACAACAAGGAGGAAGGACTCGGATCCGGAATCGTGGCCCGCGCTGGGGCGAGAACGCCACCTGAACGACGGGAGCAACGCCCCGATCTTAAAACGAGGCCCACGTTGTAGCGGTGACAGACCGTGCGGTGACCTCGAAATCCCCCAAGACCTCACCGCACGGTCCGTCAACACACGGTCTTGTGACCTCGGATGCCCCGGTCGCCCGAGCCGTCCTCGGAGAAGGACCCGAGTCCCAAGACCGTGCGGTGACCCCGAGTCCCCACCGACTCACCGCACGGTGTGGTCACCGCACCGCCTGGGGGCCCCCGAGCTGCAGCGGGAGCACGCCTTCAGAAAGGCCGGGGACGTTCGGCGGGTTGGAGACACAATCAACTTGGCTCCAAGGGGGGGCGGGCGCCTCCCTGGCCATGTTCGGGGGAGTGGGGAGAAGAGTTTGTACATCCCACCAGCCCTCTGGGCGCAGGTGGTCTGACGATGTGTTTCTTTCGTCTTCCTCTTTCTTTCCTCTTCCAAAAACCTTTTATATTGAGAATTTGAAGAGGAATCTGCGGAGGAAAACAGGAAGAGGAGAGAGGAGTAGGTATGGAGGGATGAGTGAGACTTGGGGGAGAAGGAGGCAGGTGGATCGGGAGAAGTGGAATGAGGAGATGCGTAGTTCGCCAGGCGAAAGATCCAACCGTATGCAGTTGTGGGTACTGCCACTGTCTGCACCGCATTCGGTGGAGCTCCCGTTGGGGCCACGAAGCGTGTGAATGGTATGCCGAAATGGGTGCGGTGGGCGAATGCGAGCGCTGGCACTTGGGCCATCGGTGGAGTTCCCTATGGGGCGACAGAACGTGTGAGGGGTGTCCTAACATGGGCGCGGTGGGCGCATGCGAGCGCTGGCATATAGGCCTTCGGTGGAGCTCCCTATGGGGCCACATAACGTATGAGGGATGTGTCCAAATGGGTGCGGTGGGCGCATGCGAGTGCTGGCATGTGGGCCTTCGGTGGAGCTCCCTATGGGGCCACGAACATCTGGGGCCACAAAACGTGTGTGTGTGTGTGTGTGTGTGTACCAAAACGGGTGCGGTGGGCGCATGCGAGCGCTGGCATCTGGGCATTCGGTGGAGCTTCATATGGGGCCACGAAACGCGTGATGGGAGTTCGTGTGCGGTGGGCGCATGCGAGCGCTGGCATGTGGGCCATCGGTTGGGCTCCCTATGGGGCCACGAAGCGTGTGAGGGGTGTCCCAAAATGGGTGCGGTGGGCGTATGCGAGCGCTGGCATTTGGGGCTTCGGTGGAGCTCCCTATGGGGCCTCAAAACGTGTGAGGGGTGTGCCAAAAAGGATGCGGTGGGCGCATGCGAGCGCTGGCATTTGGGGCTTCGGTGGAGCTCCATATGGGGCTACGAAACGTGTGATGGGTGTGCCAAAATGAAGTCGGTGGGCGAATGCGAGCGCTGGCATATAGGCCTTCGGTGGAGCTCCCTATGGGGCCACGATGCGTGTGAGGGGCGTGCCAAAATGGATGCGGTGGGCGCATGCGAGCGCTGGCATCTGGGCCTTTGGTGGAACTCCCCATGGGACCTCAAAACGTGTAAGGGGTGTGCCAAAGTGGCGGAGGAGAGGAGGAGGGGGGAGGAGGGGAAGAGGAGGAGAGGACAGGAGAGGAGGTGGGACGCGGGGCGCTGCCAACACCACAGGATAGTTGGGACAACAAAAAAAAACAGAAGGGAGACGAAAGGAGGACACAGACTGCGGGGGGGGTCGGGGATGGGATGGCGAAAGAACACATCACTGCCTCTGCACGGGCCGCCCCCGGCTCCCTCGGCTGGCCCCGAAGCCCACGTGGGCGTGCGTTGGGCCCGAGCTTCGTGGTGTGCCATGGCGCTTCCCGGTTCCTTCTCGTCTTGCGCCGCACCTCCCTGCTCTTCCCATCTGCTGCGCCATCGGCACGCGCGCGCGGACTCCGAAGCACGACCAGCAGCGCAGGCAGAAACTTTCGGAGCTCCGCGCGGAGTTCCCAAATCGGCGCGGGACCACCCTCCCTGGCGCGCGGAGCGCGCCGAGGGCGGCTGCCGGAAGCGCTGCCACTGGGGGCCCAGCGCCGATCCAAGGAATCCGCTCGGAGGAAGATGAGTACTTGCTTGACTGGTGTCTTGGGTGACGGTGCAAAGATCGTGGAGGTGCGTTTGGACCCTCCTTCATGGACGTCTTCGTGGGCCGAGGGTCTATAAAGGAGTCCTCGGCAAACGAAGACGCAACTGTTTATGCCAGCGCAGTTTTAGAAGAAGAGAAAGCGGCATAAACTCTTAAGTTGTGGCGCTCCGCGCGGATTTCTTGGATCCGCGCTGGGCCCCCCTCCCTGACGCGCGGAGCGCGCCAGGGGCTGCGCGGGAGGTGCCGCCAGGGGTGCCCAGCGCGGATCCGAGAAATCCGCGCGGAGCGCCAAAAGTTTAGTTTATGTTTTTTTTTCTTCTTCGAATTTTAGGTCAGCGCAATTTCTTCCTCTCCGAGGACTGCGGACCCGTGCAGGCTCGCGGCGCCCGCCGAAGAACGGCCGACGTCCTCGTCCTCTTTCTCGTCGTCGTCTACCTCGTCCTCATATTCCTCCTCCTCCTCCTCGTCCTCTTCCTCGTCGTCGTCCTCCTCGTCCTCCTCGTCCTCCTCCTCCTCCTCCTCCTCCTCCTCCTCGTCCTCTTCCTCGTCGTCGTCCTCCTCGTCCTCCTCGCGTGCCGACAATCGCGTGCCGACGCCGCCGGGGGTCCCCCCCTCCCGCACGGCCGGCCCCTCCCCCCCTCTGCGGTGGTGCGGCGCCCTCACCGCGCGAGAGGCCGCGCGCGCGCGCCCGCTCCTCGGATAGTCGATGCACCCACCGTCCTCGAGGCAGCCCAAAAATGGCAGCAGGCAGGCGACTCCTCCTCCTCCTCCTCCTCCTCCTCCTCCTCCTGCTCCTCCCCAGGAGGAGGAGGAGGAGGGGCAGCAAGGAGTCTAAGTTTGCTTCGCCTTCGTGGATCCGAGCGCGCCTGCCGCGCCAGCGCCCACCTGGTTTGAGGCTGGGCAGCGCCGGTGCTGGGCAAGGTCAAGAGGCATACGAGGGGCTGCCATTCGTATCCGAGAGTCCCTGGGGGCGCCAGGCACCAATGGGCGATGTCTCCAAAAATGGTAAGCGGCACCCCCAAGATCGCCGCAATGACCATCCGAGAGGGCCCCAGGAGGGCCCCAATACATCCCAAAATGCCCTCCAAATGTCTCAATATGCAGGCCCGCAAGATGGCCCAAATACGGGAAGATCGAAGGGGCCTTCGGAGTCTTTCCCCCCAAGATGGGCCCCAACATCCTCGACATGCGCCCAAGAGGCCCCAAGAGGTCCCCAAGAGGCCTCAAGAGGCTCCGAAAGAGACCTCCAAGAGTATCCCGAGTAGCATCCAACACGCCTGTGACCCACGACCCAAGCACGTTGGTAGGATGGGTCGAATTCCATTAGATCCGCCGCCGCCTGTTGGCTTGCCACAGGGGTGCACGGTGTGCCAGATGTTAGATAACTTTAGGTCCTTTTCGCAGATTGCCAGTGGGCCTTCGGCCCAACCTGCCGTCCACCCAGAGAGCCGTCGCAAATTAGTTCTCCATTGGCCTTATCGCCTCCAAGATGGGCAACTATTGCCTCCAAGACTCCTCTAAGACGGCCAAGATGGCCTAAGATAGCGTCCAAGACGGTCCTAAGATGTCTCCAAGACGGCCCAGATGACCTCACGATAGCTCAAGATCGCCCCAAGATGGGCTCAAGATCGCCCAAGAGGCCTCCAAGCCAAGACGGCACAAGAGGCCTCCACGAGGACCTCCAGGAAAGCCCGAAAAGGCCAACATCATTGATTCGTTTTTTTCCGAAGTTTTTGCTGGATTTTGGCGTTTGCTCGTTCCCGGCATTCCAACGGCCCAAGACGCCCCCAGAGGAGAGCAGGATGGCCCCCGGAGCGCCCACGAGGCCTCCGAGATGGCCCCCCGACGGCCCAAGAAGCCCCCGAGACAGCCCTGAAGCGCCCGAGGAGGGCCACAAGTCGGCCCAGAGAGGCCCCCGAGACGCCTTCAGAACGTCAGACGGGCCAGGAACGCCCTGAGACGGCCAAAGAGCCTCCCAAAGGAGCCTCCAAAGGTCACCAGGAGGCCGACTGAGGCCCCCAAGAGGTCTCCAAGAGTCCCCTCAGGAGGCGCCGAGAGTGCCCCAGAAGCTCTCAAGAGTCCTCCTCCTCCTCCTCCTCCTCGTTCTTTTTCCTACCTCGTCCTCCTCCTCCTCCTCCTCCTCCTCCTCCTCGTTCGTTTTCCTACCTCGTCCTCTTCCTCCGAGCTCTGGCCACCAGAGGAGCGGCTGCCCGAAGACGACTCCGAGGACGCCGAGGACTAAGGGCCCCGCGCCCTCGTTGCGCGCGCTCGGGGGGGTGGCTGCCCACGGCACCCCAACGCACATACAAGAGGCCTCAGACCCACAACCCAGGCACGGCAGGTTCGTGTCGTGCCGACCCCAGCGTTGGTTTTTGACACCGCAGGGATCGTTCAACCTTGAACGATCGGCCGCTGCCGCAACGTCCGATCGTTCAACATCGATCGATTCTGGGTCGCTGGCGGCGTTCAACCTTGAACGCCCGCGCTGGGGTCGCCGCTGGTCGACACGACGCAAACCTACCGCACGGTGGCGGGATGGGCCGAAGGCCACTCGGATCCGCCGCCCCCTGTCGATTCATCGCAGGGGTGCCTGGCGTGCTACACCCTCTCGGTTTTGGTTTTGGTTCCTTTCCAAAAAGATCTCCCCCTGGGGCTTCGGCCCGTCCCGCCGGGGCCCCCGCAAGACCCATAGGACGCCCAAGCCATCGCCCAATTCCCAAATGTTCCTCCAAGACGGCTCAAGATGGCCTCCAAGATGGCCACGTTGGCCCAAGATGGCCTCCAAGATGGCCTCCAATTTCGCCCAAGATGGTCCAAGACGGCCTCCAAGACGGCCCAAGAGGGTCCAAGGTACCTCCAAGTTCGCCCAAGAAGCCTCGAAGACGGCCCAAGACGCCTCCAAGACGGCCCAAGAGGCCTCCAAGAGGTCCTTGAAGAGGGCCCAGAGAAGCCCCAAATCGTTTATTTACGATTGTTTTGGAAGGATTTTGGCTATCTCGTCTTTTCGGCTTTCCGACGCTCCAAGACAGCTCAAGAGGCCTCCAAGAGCGTCCCAAGACGGCCCAAGAGGTCTCCAAGATCACCCCAAGACGGCCTCCAAGACGCCTCCAAGACGGCCAAGATGGTCTCCAAGACGGCCCAAAAAGGTCCAAGATACATCAAAATTTGCCCAAGAAGCCTCGAAGACGGCCCAAAAAGCCTCGAAGACGGCCCAAGAGGCCTCCAAGAAGTCCTCCAAGAGGGCCCCGAGAGGCCAAAATCAATGACTTGTCCTTAGGTGTTTAAAAGATTTTGGCATGTGCTTCTTCTCGGCATTCCGACAGCTCAAGACGGCCCAAGAGGCCCCCAAGATCGCTCAAGAGGCCTCCAAGAGGGCCCCATGACGGCCTAAGAGGCCTCCAAGACGGCCCCCCAGAGGGCCCCGAGACGGCCCAAGAGGCCTCCAAGGCGCCCAAGATGGCCTCGAAGACAGCCCCGAGGCTCCCCAAGTCGGTTCAGAGAGGCCCCCAAGACGGCTCCCGACGGCGTCAGACAGGCCAGGAACGCCATGAGCAACCAAAGAGGCCCCCGAGAAACCCCAAAAGGGCCCGAAGAGGCTCTCAAGAGGCCCCAAGAAAGTCCAAAATAGCCCCAACATGGTCTCCAAGACGGTCCCAAGATGGCCCAATCGAGCCCAAGAGTGCCTCAAAAGGCTCCGAAGAGGCATCCTCCCCCTTCTCCTTTTTCCCTTTTCCTCTCTTCCTCTTCCTCCCCCACGTGGTCCCCGAAGGCTTTCCAAACCGATTCGGGGAACACATGGTCCGATAGCTAGGCAGGTCTGGCTTTCACGTTCGGCCACGCATGCGCTTCCAAAAAGGCAGGGGGCGGGAGCGATTAGCCGTAGGCGCCTTCGATCCGCCGCCCCCTTTTGATTCACCAAAAGGGTGCCTGGCGTGACAGATTCTACCGCTTTTGGTTTTGGTTCTTTTCCAGAAGAACTACCCCTGGGGCTCCGGCGCGTCCCGCCGGGGTCCCGGGAGGATTGCCACGGAGCTCAATTCCCCCCAAGATCCTCAAAGACGGCTCAAGATGGCCTCCACGATGGCCATGTTGGCCCAATATGGCCGCCAAGATGGTCCAAGATGGCCTCCAAGTCCGCCGAAGCTGGTCCAAGACGGCCTCCAAGACGGCCTAAGAGAGTCCAAGATAACCCCAAGTTCGCCCAAGAAGCCTCCAAGATGCCTCCAAGACGGCCGAAGAGGCCTCCAAGAGGTCCTCCTGGATGGCCCGAAGAGGCCAACATCATTGATTTTCCTTAGGTTTTTGAAGGATTTTGGCATTCGCTTCTTCTCGACTTTCCGACGACCCAAGACGGCCCAAGAGGCCCCCAAGATCGCCCCCACAGCGCCCAAGAGGCCTCCAAGATGGCCTCAGGACTGCCCAAGAAGCCCCCAAGACGGCCCCAAGAGGGCACAAAGACGACCTAAGAGGCCTCCAAGACGCCCAAGATGGCCTCTAAGACGGCCCTAGAGGACCCCAAGTCGGCCCAGAAAGGCCACCCAAACGGCTTCCGACGGCGTCAGACGGGCCAAGAGCTCACCAAGATTGCCGAAGTTGGCTCGAACTGGCCCAAGACGGCCCAAGAGGCCTCCAAGAGGGCCTCCAGGAAGGCCAGAAAGGGGCCCCAAAACATGATTTTCCATAGGATTTTAAAGGGCTTTGACATTTGCTTCGTTTCGGTCATCCGACGGCCCGATGCGGCTCAAGAGCCCCCAAAGATCGCCAAAAGATCGCCCAAGAAGCCTCCAAGAGGCCCCCAAGACGGCCCAGGAGGCTTTTAAGACGCCCAAGATGGCCTCCAAGACGGCCCTGGAGCATTCCAAGAGGGCCCCAAGCCGGCGAGGCCCCCCAAACGGCTTCCGACGGCGTCGGACGGGCCAGGGGCCCACCAAAACGGCCGAAAATGGCACTAAGATGGCCCAAAACGGCCTAAGAGGCCTCCAAGAGGGCCTCCAGGAAGGCCCGAGAAGGCCCAAATCATTGATTCCCGGTGAGTTTTTGAAGGATTGTGGCATTTGCTTTTTTTCGGCCTTCCGACGGCCCGAGGCGGCCCAAATGCCCCCAAAGATCGCCCAAGAGGCCCAAGACGGCCCCAAGAGGCCCCCAAGACGGCCCAAGAGGCCTCCAAGACGTTCAAGATGGCTTCCAAGACTCCCCAAGAGCCCTCCAAGACGTCCTCCAAGAAGGCCCGAAAGGGTCAAAATGGCCTCCAGGCGGCCAAGATGACCTTGAAGATGCCCACGTGTTCTCCGAAGGCTTTCCAAACCGATTCGGGGAACACATGGTCCGATAGCTTGGCAGGTCTGGCCTCAACGTTCGGCCACATAGGCGCTTCCAAAAAGGCAGGGGGCGGCGGTGATTCGCCGTAGGCGTCTTCGATAACGCCAACGCCTCAATAAGCTCTGATGATTCCTATCCGCCCCTGTATGATACTTCTAGATGCGCCAAGGCAGCGCCGAGACGCACCGACGCGACTCTGATACATCCCATTCTGATAGAAAGGGGCCGTCGGCAGGGGGCGAAGCCCTTACAGTGAAGGCCAGTCCGCACGAAACCTCCCACAAGAAACCCGACTCTGAGACCCCAGGGCGCCTCTTGACTTTTGGTGTGGGAACGTCACGCTCTCCATCGCAAAATGATATTATAAGCCCAAGAAGCCCAGGGCACCCTGGAGGCGAGCA